CAAAACGAGACAATGCAACACTTTATTGATACTCTTCCAAATATTACAATCCATCATAGCCAGTACATAGAGGGATGCCAAGTTTCGTATTGTGATGAAAGAAGACATTTAACTGATATTGAAATAATTTTCAATGTAGTAGCGAAAGTAGGTGGATGGATAACCGTTACAACGATAGCTGCAAGCTTGTTCTTGCTATTACTGAACTGTTGTGGGAAGATTGTGATGAAAAAATACAGGGATGGGTTTATTGAAGAATAAACAAATTATAGGTACTCAATTGTCCGACGAGAGTGTGTCTAATGGGTGTGTATGTGTGGGGTTTAAATGTTGTCGGAGTTGAGTTCGCCAAGCTGATTGCTACATGTTTCCCAAGCAGTTGCAAATTTTGCAGTTTTGGGTTTAATTATATATCCTCTAGCCTTCTTGAGTACAGTAGAACTGTTCCAAGTGGCGTTTTTGTAACAACTGCCAACATAAGCAGCGAATGAGAGATATATTTCATTTAGCCAATCAGTCAAGGCTGGGGGAGATAGGTCTAGTTGTTGGAGAGATTCGTCTTTGATACTACCATTCCACTCCATTGGAATACAAGAGAGAGAATGGTTAGAGGGAAGTCTGACAAGCGGGGCGTTGAATTTGAGGGAACTATTGTCCCATTTTGTGTATAATGATTTGATTTCTGGGCTACACATGGCGCATGAGGTGAATACATGTTCCCAGTTGGCTTTGGTGTTGCAAATGTGGCAATTAGGGTAATCTTTTCCGAAATTTCTAAGGATTTCTGCTTTGTGCAGGTGAGCAAATAACAGTCGTTGCTGGAATGGTTTGAGTGAATAATTGTTCCAAAAGGAGATGGTACATGGATGCCAGATTCTATTATGGTCTAAGGTTCCAAGGCCAGAAATGCTCATGGTTGATCTATCACTGTTTAGCAATTCAGTTCTAGGGTCGACAGGGGTTTCGTATTCATTGACAAATGAATATCGTTCATCAATGTATTGGAGAGACCAATTATTTTGAGCAGCAATATTTTTCACGTGGTTCCAAAATGGTTCGTTAAAAGTAGTATCTTTCCAAGCAGCCAAAGCTATATTTTTGGTGATGGAGGATGAGGAATTGAATAATCTAACTGCTGTGCAAATAGGTTCAATAGAGAATAAAATAGAGGGGCGAGTAATACCAAGACCCCCAATTTGTTTGCAATTAAAAACGACTGATTTTGATAATGTGTAATCTAATCCAATAGCCTTTCTGATAAAATTAGCAACCATAATATCTGCTTTGTCTAGAGAATTCTTACTGATTCCATTGAAGCTACAGGCATATCTAGGCAATGATATAATTTTAGACATAATTGTAGTGGTGATACTGTTGAGATATAGATTAGAAGTTTTAGCTGATGCAAGTCGATTCGAGATTTTGTTGACTGGGTTATCAGAGGACCAAGAAAGATTATCCTTAAAGGTACATATACCCCAAGGTATTCAATAGAAGTAGACGAGGCAATTGTATCCTGTCCAATAGTGACTAGGGCTTTAGATAGTTTAGATTTAGCTGTAATAGCTAAGAGCTTGCATTTCTTGGGAGCTAAAGCGAGTCCTATTTTCTTTAACTCTCGGCCGAGGCTTTTAAGAGAGGAATTCATTTCAATCTTAGTATTAGCTATCAATAAAATATCATCGGCATATAATAATAAAAGGATAGTAATATCAAATATTTGGACTCCTTTTAGTTTTTCTTGTATATTAGTTGAGGAGTTAATATAGAGATTAAACCATGCTGGACTTGAAGGGTCGCCTTGTGGGACTCCAACATTCGCATCGAAAGGGGAGGATAGGAATCCGTTAACTAGTACTTTCATAACGCTATTGGAAATCATGGATGTCAAGAGATTAATGACAGAGCTACGGAAACCATGTTTTTTGAGAATGCTGATAAATCTTTTATGGATTACTGATCCATAAGCATTTTTGATATCTAAAGCCATAGCGAATACTTCTTGTTTGTGCTGACATTTGTATGCTAGGGCAGTCCGAAGATTGATAAGGTGCTCTAATGTTGAGCCTTTTTTCATGAATCCTCGCTGAGCAGTATGGATTAAATTAGCCTCTTCAAGGATATTCATGAATTGTTTGTTGATAATAGAAGAAAATAGGCGATAGATCACAGATAATACTACTATAGGTCTAAAGTCTGATAATTTTGTAGGCATATTGACTTTGGGTAATGGGAGTAGAATACCAATACCCAATTCTTTAGGAACCATTTTACTGTCAATTGTGTGATTGATACATTTTGCAAGTACTTGGAGCGAATTGTTGTCTAGAATTTTCAACAACGGCACCGAGATATTATCATAGCCAGCCATGGAATTTTTTGTTTTAGAAATAACTTTACCCAACTCTTTGGCAGTGATATGTTGGAATTTCCATTGGGCTACAGTATTATTTTTCTTGATTTCCGGAAGGGTTTTAGTCACTTCTTGTTCTGTGTTAAACATGGCTGAAAAATGATCTACAATTATCGAGTTATGGTTACTTTGGACTACATTGAGTATAGAAGAACTGACTAATTCTTTTCTGAAGGCATAGGAGTACGGTTGTTTAGAGCTAAGATTGTTAATTCTATTCACGAAGACCCGTTTACGGTCAGCCAATAGAGATCCAATAAGCTTGTTAAGCGAGGCTTTAGCTTCCTCTAATTTAGCCTTAATATTGTTGAGGCTAAAATTATTATTCAAGAACTGGCTGGTGACAGTAGAGACATATTTACGCTTATAAAGATACTGTTTCAAATCAAAAATGATCGTCTGAAATTGTCTAACATTACGATTATCAGTAATCAATGAAGGCTTGTCGGTGCTAGGAGAGCCATATTTCTTCACAATTTTAGCAAGGGTATTTTGGGCTTCTAAGAGAGTGCTAGGGTTGTCCATAGCAAAATCGTTATTAATTTCCTTCATCTTGGATTGCAGAGTTTTAGGATGAATAATATATTTGTTGAACTTTTCTGGGAAGTCTAAAATAGGGTTACTGGGAAAGGAGATAGTTAAAAGTTTGTGAGAATAAGCAGTAGAAACATCATCTACATTAGAATAATCATTGTGGGAAGTAATAATATGGTCCGGGCGAGAAAAACCATGAGAGTATTTGTTGCGTTGAGAGAACGAAGGTGTGTTTGGAATGGGAACAACATCAAAGAGCTTCAATTTGTCACATTGGTCAATTAATAGTCGCTCATGGGCAGCATAGGATACCTTATTGAATGTTTTAGTATTGGCATTCAAGTCTCCCAATATGACAATACGTTCACCATGCAAGACCGCTGTTTGAGCAGCAATGTTGATAATATTGAGAGCCTTATTCATGAATTCTAATTTGTTTTTGTTAGCCGGGCCATACCAATTGAAAATACGGACCACACCTAGGCATTTATGTTCCAAAATGACTTCTGATAGTCTGCCTTGAATATGCTCGATGAATTGGAGTACCTTAATAAAAGGTGACGGTTTGACAATAGTAGCAATTCCTGCTCCATTATCTCCCTCGGTGGCGTTGGAAGTATAGACTAAGTAGCCACGAAAGAAGGACCTGAAATACCATACATTCCAATAGTCTTCCGTACTGGATTTTAAATGAGTTTCCTGGATATTAAGGATATCCAGTTCATATTTTCGGGCTAGGGTAAGTAATTGAGATTGTTTTACCCAGCCAACTCCTCCGAAATTAGCAGTACCTAAATTGAAGGAGTTTCTTATAGAATGAGAGGCCATTAAAGGGAATGTCGGCCCTTCTTATGCCCACTTTTACTCTTGCGAGTAGTAGTGCCTAAGAGAGCGTTGACTTTTTGGTTAATTTCTTCAATAGCTTTGTTGATCTTATTAAAGCCTTCAGTGACCTTTTTTCCAGACCAGACAGCCATTTCCTTTGTCAATTTTTGGAGAGCTGATGACATTTCAGACATTTGTTTTTCAACAGCTTCCATTCTGTGACTGATGGAGTTGGCAACTCTAGTAGAGAATGAGAGGTTTCTGAAACTATGATTTCCAACTTGGACGAACTTGGTAATGTTATTGGTGATTTGATCCTTTTTGACACCAACAACAGCCACCTTATTAGCCAACTCGATACTCTCAATCTTGACTTTCCATTGGGAACTAATGGCACCCTTGAGTTTAGGAAGATCTTTTTCTTTACCGTTAAAGGCGATACGGAAACGAGAGATATCTGTTCTCATTTTGGAAAGCTTAAATTTCTTCAAATGATTGGCTGGTAATTCAATATTAGTACCAATAGCCCAAAACTCTTGATCATCTATCTTGCTAAAATTGATGTTGTTGATAGAAGTACCAAGAGTTGAGATAATAGAGTGCATATTAGTCTTATCTAAGTCTTTGTCGACCTTATAACGGAATGACGTTTTGACGGTTTGAGGAATCATGGTTAGCTTGGACTTAGCACCAGAAGATATTGCTTGGTTTGCCAATTTGCGCGACTTGAAGAAGAGAATAATGCACTCCAATTCACTGACAACTCTACTACCGTACAACGCATCGGCATTCATTGCGACGGTTGCAAGGACTTCTTCGACAGAGTTGGTAGTAAAGGCCACCACTCTGAAGAGTTTATGATGTCGCTTCAGTTTGGTAGAATGGTCGTCGGTCATGGCCGAGGTACTAAAAACTGAGACGCCAGAGGTTGTAGTAATATTAGAGACCTCCGGTTGCGACAACATAGGAGAGTTGCATACAGTGCTGGGTTGTATTACCGACAAATTGGCTATATTGACGGAGGACGGAGTTTCTAAAATTTCGTTTTCCATCTCCTCTCTCAATTTATCATGTGCCGATTTTTGAGCAGAGAGAGATTTGTTTGCAGTATGCGGGCGATCAGCGACCTCTTTGATAGAGGCGTGATGGCGAAGGTGATAAGTGTCTTCATCGCCGAGGGCGGTTTGGTTTTCAGACATTTTTTCGAAGACCAAATACGAATTAAAAAATGAGAAAACTTGTATCTTCTTCATCCACGGAAAGAACGGCCGTAAAAAGCGTCATATCATCGGGCAGATCCATCATTAATAAAAAGCATCAAAATGGCCTCGGAGTTGGGAATGTAAAATCATCTTCATTAACACTTGATTATAAAGGCAGTAGATTAATGTTAGAGGCTTGCACGAATCTTTATGAGAGAAATTTTCATCATCAGATTAACCCAAATCGAAAGGAATTACAATCGGTGTCATATCAAGAAAAAACTCTGAAGGAAGGCGATGTTATTGATGGATGGGTTTTGGAAGCTATTCAAGAATTGAAGGATTTTGATTTGGTGGCTTATCGTTTAAAACATACACAAACAGGAGCTGAGTATTTACATTTGGATGCTCCTTTTGATATGAACAACTGTTTTGCCATCACGTTTGAAACACCTCCAAATGATGACACTGGAATACCACACATTTTAGAGCACACAACATTATGTGGTAGTGAAAAGTACCCTGTCCGTGACTTGTTCTTTAACATGATGAAGAGAAGCTTAAACACTTATATGAACGCATACACAGCTAGTGATCATACGACATATCCATTTAGTACTCAAAACGAAAAAGATTTCTATAATTTAATGTCTGTTTATTTGGATTCTACGCTAAGCCCTAGAATTTTAAACACAGATTTCAAACAAGAAGGTCACAGATTGGAATTTGAAAATCCTCTTGACGCAAACTCTCCATTGAAAATTAAAGGAGTAGTCTATAACGAAATGAAAGGGGCAATGAGTGACAGTAATCAGTTTTTCGGAACCCAATTGCACAAAGCCGTACTTCCCGGCACAATTTACGCCTTCAACAGCGGAGGAGAGCCACAAGCTATTCCCAATCTCACTTATGAGGAATTGAAAAATTTCCACAAGCAAAACTACCATCCAAGTAGAGCAAAAATATTTACGTATGGATGTTTCTCGTTTCTGAAGCACATCAAATTTATGAACGAGAACGCCTTTTCAAAATTCTCAGCACTTCCATCAAGAAAAGTTCCCAAGCAAGTGCAAAGATTCACTGAACCAAAGAGAGTTGAGGTTTTCGGTCCTCCTGATTCTATGGTCATTGACGAGCAGAAACAAACCAAGGTTGCCATTGCATACGTGATGAATGACAAGAGCGACACATTTGAAACATTTTCTCTCTCATTTCTTTCGGCATTGTTAATGGACGACCCAAGAGGTGTGTTCTATAAGAATATTATTGCTTCTGGCTTGGCACCTGATTTTGCACCTTACTGTGGATTTGATTCGAGTGTAGGTGATCCTATATTCACAATTGGAGCTCAAGGTATCGCAAACGATCAAGTTGAGGCGGTGGAAAAGGCTATTGAGGACACATTCCATGAAGTAATTGAGAATGGAATTGACCAAGGACTCATTGACACCGTTCTCCATAGCTTGGAGCTATCTATCAAGAAAAAGTCTCCAAACTTTGGTGTCAATATTTGTTTTCCAGTGTTTTCAAATTGGATTCACAATGACGATCCCATTAGCACGTTCAAAATTAATTATTTCTTGGACAAGTTGAGAAAGGAATTAGAAAATCCAAATTTCTTCAAAGATAAGATTAAGAAATACTTTCTCAATAACACTCACAAGGTCACCTTTGTCATGAATCCAGATCCAAATTACTTTGACAAGCAAGAAGCCATGGAAGCAGCAAAACTTGACACAATTTCAATGGCACTTTCTGAATCAGACAAGGCACAAATTGTTGCAGGATATAAGGAAATGGAGGAAACCAAGGTTGAGCAAGCAAAGAATGTTGAAGTATTGCCAACATTAACGGTTGATGATCTTTCGAGGAAACTTATCGATGTGCAAACAGTTCAACTCGTGAAAGACAAGGCCGAACCTGAGTTTCATATGAATGTTGTGAAAGGCACCAATGGAATTATTCATGTGACGACCATAGTTCCATTTTCTCTTGCCGAGGTTCCAGATCATTTACAAAAATTCGTGCCAATATTTGGAGATGTAAGTAACAGTGTTTATTGCTTTACACAACAACATGTACATTTCATTAACCTTTCTCATTACCGTACTTATCATTGTTAATTTGCTCACATCTTTGAACCTCTCATATTTTATTTATAATGACAGCTTCTTGTCAGAGTTGGAACAAGCAAATTGAATTATCTCCAACTCGCTCATCAAATTGAGCTCCATACTGGCGGAATTGATGCTTCTCCTATACTTGTTCCAAGTCTAGAAAAAATTGATGAATTTTCCTTTGCTCTCAAATTTTCTTCGTATTGTTTGGAGCGAAATGCAGAGAAAATGGTCTACTTGATGAGAGAAATATATACTGATGTAAACTTCCTTGGAGACTTGAATTTCTTACAAAATTGCGTTGATCAGGCTGCATCTGACGCTGCAAGTGGAATTTTACACAGTGGTCATCACTACGCCAAACTTCATGCTGCTTCCAACATTACGTTCTATGATTCATTAATTAATGCTACGAGTGGAATTGATGCCATGAAGTTTTTGAAACATCTCTCCACAAATGCCAATACTGAATTGATTGCAAATTCGCTGCAAGAGCTTGTACCTTATTTATTGCGAAAGAAAAAGATGAAAATTCTCATCACCTGTGAAGAACATCAACGAGATCGAATGATGAGAGTGATGGAAAGGCAATTCTATGAGGCCATTGAAAATGAAACATTGACCAGCGAGGCCAAGATGAAAACTCAACTCGAATTTAAACCCAAATTTATCAATTCCTATCTGTCCATACCTTCCTCCGTGAGCTTCGTGGGTAGAGCATTAATGACCACACCATTTGTCACCAAAGATTCAGCTCTTCTTCGAGTGGTCTCTGCCATTCTCCATTCCAATTATTTGCATCAAGAGGTGAGGGAACGTGGAGGTGCCTATGGATCCAACGCTTCTCAAAGCATGAATGGTGTTTTTACCTTCTCTTCTTATAGAGATCCAAATCCAAGCAGAACCATTGGTATTTGCTCCAATGTTGCTGAGTGGATTCAAATGAAAGACTCTGTTACTCCAAAAACCATCCAAGAGGCCAAATTGCAAGTGTTCCAACATTTGGATGCACCTGTAACACCTCATGCTCACGCCCAGAGTAAGGTTGTATTTGGAATTGATGATGAGTTAAGACAATTCAGAAGAAATGTCATTTTAGATGCGACACGAAGTGAAATTGTTGACACATGTGTGAAATATTTAAGTCGTTCACCCAATGTTGCAACAACGATTATTGGAGGTAATTTTGAGAAGGATATTGCAGATGAAACACAAAGAAATCAATGGGCAGTTGAAAAGGAGGAAATGGACAATTCTAGACAGTGATTCAAATAACACTATTGGTCAACTGAATAGTGGTGAATATTGATGCACAACAACTATTAAAAAATGATTATGAGAATACTTGACAATATGAGCTATTCAATTCCGAATTTCCATACCGATTGCATGCATTGGAGAGTTAAATATAAACCCAACGTACCACTAGTAGTAATTGTTTGAAAAGACAAAAGCATAATACTTGTGCATTTTGGAGGGTTAAATATAAATCCAACGAACACGCACAAACGTTGATGATTTAATGATTTGTGGATGAAATAATAATGCAACGAGACAACAAGATTTCACAAAAAATGATCAAACAGAACCATTCTAAATCCCAGAGCCTCTGCATCGACTTGTCCTTCTTCATTGGCTTGTCATTGGTGACCATTGTCGTGTTACCTCTCGACACTCATCCATTCTTTTCCACAGTATTTGTGATTGGATCATTGTTTGTTTTTTGGAGAGTCCGAACAAGAAATGAATTGCAATCTGTAGACTTTCCTTCCAATCATGTTCATAGACAAGAGAACCAACAGAATGATAAAATCATGACAGAACAGAATGACAATCATCCAAAAAGAGACATATCCATGGACCATGTTAAAAGACCAATAATTCCAGCCAGTGTCACTAGTACTACTGCTGACATGATATTCAGCAAAGATCAAGAATCTCATATTAACAAATTAATCCGAACCAGAGAACGAACAGTCAAGTTGGTAGGAAATGGAAATGACATGGATGAGAATTCTGACAGCACTCTTCCAAGAGGTCAAAAACTCGTGAAAAAGTGGCCAATTCTCGATCTAGGTTATCATCCAGAAATGGATATCAATGTTTGGGAATTTGAAGTCATTTTGGGTGATGACTTGCCAGTGAAAAAAGTGTTATTGAAAGATTTGATTCAAAATATTGAAATGAGAAATTACACCAACGACTTGCATTGTGTAACGACTTGGAGTATGTTAAACATGAATATGGATGGTCTTTCATTTCAAGACATGGTCAATTATTTAAATCCAAATCCTGAATGGAAATATCTGATACAATATGGTCTTGATGGTTATAGTGTCAATGTTCATAGAGAAGATGTCATGCATCCACAGTCATTCCTAGCACTCAAATATAATGGACAACCAATCACTAGAGAACATGGTTATGTTCGATTAATGATTCCAAATTTATTTGGTTGGAAAGGATGTAAATTTTTGTGTGGATTGAAATTTTCACAACACAATGAAATGGGTTTTTGGGAACAGCGTGGAAGTCATTTTCGAGGAAGAGTGAAACAAGGAGAGAGATATCATCATGTCAGTGGTCAGTATGAAAGTAGTAATGAAGAGGATTCCAAGAAAACAGTTCAGGAAATTTTAGAAAAAGGAGGATCAAATATCATGTTGAGACAGTTGAAATTGGTGGAAATTCCAAAAGAACTCTCTATGGATTCCACTTTTGAATTTATTTCCGAGTTGAATTTGGATTCTAATTTGCTCGAACATGTCCATGGTATTAAGGCCTTGAAGAGCTTGACGCGTCTCAATTTGAACAACAATTGTATTCGGGAATTTCCAATTGAGATTTGCTTCCTGACCAATTTAACTGAACTATTTATTATGAACAACCAATTAACAACCATTCCTCCTGAAATTTCAAGCTTGAAAACACTTGTGGCTCTTTGGTTTGATAATAATCAACTCGAGACACTACCAAAGGAAATTGGTGAGCTACACAACCTTTTATCCATTTCTCTCTATAGAAATAAGCTTAAATTTCTTCCATCCGAGTTGTCGAATCTCACCTCATTGAGAATGTTGAGCGTGGCGGATAATCCTGACTTGCAAAACATTCCTGACGAGTATTACCAACTTAAAAATGTAAATTATTTTGGTTTAGAGCGATGTCGTTGGGGAGAAAATGATGAAATTCCTGAAAATGTCATTCAGGAAGGAGCTGAAGCAATTTTGCAAGCTTTGGAAAAGAGGTACCTGGAACGACATGCCCATCTCATATCATTGAATAGCAATAACTAGCACTACTCTTTAAAATTACTTGATAAAATTCATTGACAATTGAATTAAAGATCCAGCGTAGCTCATTGAAACGTTTATTGGTTCCAAAATTCAATGGTCAGAGATTACAATTTTGGACACATCAATTACTATTGCACTCAAAACAAATAACGAGTAGTTTGGATGATATTCGTCATTGTACTCTCCTTTCCAGCTCTTCTCATGTCTTCCGTGAACCAGTAAATCTTTGTATTGCATCTGGATGCATACCCCTTCAAAACGATTCAAAATTTCGCTTATAGTAGTGATTTTTCCATCGTTCAATTGCCTCCTTAAAAAACTTTTAAATCTGAACGTGTTTTCTCTGTTCTGACAACGCTCAACCATTTCATAGCAAACAGACTTCATTGGATAGGAACCGATATCACATTTTGATCCCATAGAGTTAGATTCGTAAATAAAAGGAATATTTCGAATAGAAACAGCCTCACCAAATATCTTTTCACATAACTCATACAAGTGACGATCTTGTCCAAAAAGAAAGGCATTAGAATCATAGTGATATTTGAGTGGCACCACTTCAAATTTAGATGAGAAATGCTGCTCAATTTGTTGTGCAACCCAATTATTGAACTCCCACTTGTTAGAGAAGGACTTGTATCCTTCCTTTTTTAGGTCGTCAAATGTGTTCATGATTTCAAGTATGGAATCTATCTGGAACAATAAGGGAAGACTAAAGAATTGTTCTTTCTTCCTTTTTACCTTCTCTAAAATCTTTAGAAATTGTAGTCTCCACTCCATCATGTAAAGTGTTTCCTCGAGCTCAGTCTTTAGTAGTTGCGAAATGGAAGATAGTTCTTTTGAATCAAGATCATGTTCATTAGATATTGCCAAAATAGGGTCGTAGGGAGATAAAAGGCCCCAAAATTTAAATTCAGAATCGACCTTGTCCTTTAAGGTATGGTTTGTGAGAGTATCTGGAAGTTTCTCATTATTCAGCACTGGAAGGATATAGGTTTTGAATATTTGAGGGTTTCTTTCTGGAAATTCAAAGAGTTTTAAACCAGAAACAGAATCTGTTTTGATACCATAATTCATTAGAGAGGTGAGCATGGTATTTAGAATACAATTAGGATGATCGCTCAGCATGTCCCTTGTCAATCGAAACGCTTCGTCTCCAACTCGTATTAATACATCTTCCTGCGGCAATGTTTCCATTGACGAGCTGAGTGAGTGATTGGTTCCATAATTTTCATTCTTCTTGAATAAAACAACAGATTTCAAAACGTACTTGGTGCCCTCTGTGACTTCTACAGATTCGTGATCTAATTGATGAACAAAGAACACAGCTTTTCCTCTGGTTGGAACAACACGGAAGCCTTCCTCACATCCTGGTCCGTAAAATATTGTTTCACCACCTTTCAACTCTTCATCCTCGTCTTCATTTCCATTCAAGTAAATGAGCACAGTGACAAAACTTTGGAGATCTTTCACTCGACGGCCAGAGTCTTTGTGCTTACCAAAGAACTCACCCTCCTCGTATCTGTAACATTTCCAGGTCGGATCAATAGCAACAGGAATAAATTTTGCAAAAGTTCCAGCACCATCCAGCATGTCGTTCATTACGCTTTCACCAATCTTGAACATTGCTTGGGCCAACTTCTCGTCCTTAAACGCAAAATAAGCATTGTTCCGTACGTCAGAATTATAGACATTGCTTTGAGAAGAGAGCTGTCCCACTGGGCAGTTCCACCATGTTTGAGCATTAGCCTTTCTCAAGTATTCATCGGTTTCTTCGGTAGAGAGAGCATGATCTACTGTAAAAAGTCCTTTCATGGTGGTGAGTGGTTGAGATTTTTTTTTTCGAGTGGTTGAGGCTTTCTGCTTGTTGTTGTAAAAACGAAACTCTTCCATAAAATGGAAATTTGAGCAAACTGTCGTCTGGAGTGAGGCTCGTCTTTCGAACCGCCCGTTTCGTGTATGAGTTATGTCATGGATTCAGACACGACATGAAGCAAGAATTACAGGACAATGAATTCATTGCCTTATAAAAACATTTTAACATTTGACACTCTTTCCTCTTCACTCTGTACATTTGTGCCATACACGTAAAAAATGTTCTACAACCAACAGGTAAGAATATTTCTCTCTACAACATTTTTAAATACTACTCGTGTGGTGTCACTAACTGTGTTCCTTCACACTTGAAAAGGTGGAATTTTTGGTTCATCCATTGGAGCAGCCAAACAATCTGCAATACCATCCAAAAACTTTAAATAGTTCAATAATTTTCTCAATTCCTCAGCCATATTTTCTGCAAATCCTTCACCAATGACAATATCGACTGGATCTTGAACATTCATGAAACAAGGCGACTCGTAATTCAAAACAACCTTGCCATAATCTCTCCACCAAAAGTACAAGTTCTTGGTTTGCCATAAATAGCCAAAATGATAGGCTGTTGGATTAAAGTTCCAACCAATAATGACCTCAGGATCTCGTACTCTGAAATTCTGAATGCGATGATTCACCACGAGTTGTGCATCTTGAATGGCTTGTTTTGCTAAATTCTTGTGAAGTTCTTGTCCAGCTTGATCCGATTTGTATTTCGCTGCGGAATATTCAAAAAGTTCAAATACTTGTTTGGTTCTGTAACTCAATAAAAGTGCACTATCGACAATGTCTGAATAGAGATCGAACCATGTCTGGTCAATTCCTGACTGGAATAATTGTAAATAACGGTATGCGGTTGTGTTAAAATTTTGAAGCATTTCTAACAAGAGTGGTCGAATATAGTGTTGATATTCATTCATATGATCAGAACCTGTTGCGACTTGATCATACTGTAATTTAGAGGGTTGAGTTTCCATTTTCATACCAAACCAAGTATCAGCGAGGACATTCAACTCACCCCATGTGTCCCATCCCTCTAATAATGTAATACCTGCTCTCTTGTATAAATTAGAAGGTTGTGTATGATTCACTCTTCCATAGATGAGATATTTGGTTTGATCCAACATGGCCTGAACTGTCATGGAATTGAATTGTGATCGAATGGTACGGTCAAAGATGAAGGAGCGTGAGACATCATCCAATGTTTTCAACAGAGCTTGTTCATGATCAGATTCCTCTAAATGAGGATTCCATGCCATTCGCATGGTCACAATATCATTCAACCAATAGCCATATTCCCATCCTGACGAAAAGATGACTTGCCCATCCAGTGGCACTCCAGTTTTGGCACTTTGTCTGGCAATGAGTCTTAGATCGTGTAATCTTCGATCGATATAAGTTGGTAAGAATAATGGAACACTACTATCAAAGGTAATCCAATAGGCAGTTTCTGGATGCCAAATGACTTGTCGTTTTCCCATCTCTAAAAACATAAAATCTCTCATTTGTGTAAAATTCGTATTTCCATAAGTAAATGCAGGATCATCCAATGCATAAATTTCCACAGTATGAGGCATAATTCCCAATCTCGGATCTGCATAATAAGGCAAGAAGTTAAAATTCAATCCTGGCTTTCCAGTCAATGGATCGATATATTCTTTCACATATTGACCTTGTGAAATGTGAACTTTGGCAAAGATGGGTTTGTGATATTTCAAATCCAAATAGAGAGCACTTTCATTGAGATAGGCCAACATTTTCTCAGCACTTCCATGAGTGAATTCAGAAAATCCAAGTTCAGTAGCCATAAAATCAGCACCAGTTGCCATAATATAATCAATATTCGAATGCAATTGACGAATTTCGTCTTGATATTGTCCCAACTTTCGAATCAATCTCCATGCATGTTGTTGCTCCATCACAATGGGAACATCAATGCCAACACTCAAACCATACGATTGTGCTGTGTGAACAATGAGTGAAAGTCTCGTTTGACGTTCGTGTGAATCTGCAAAATCTTTCCACTTGTCTGCATACAGAATAATCCATTGCACACTATTTTGTCGATTGGCAATTAACCACTCACAAGTCTGCTCCCATTCTTTCATTCCAAGAATCCACTGATCATATTCGAGTGACATGTCATTTCCGAAACCATTCAAAAAGTGTGTCATTTCCAAAGGATGTTCCGTATGAATATGAATACCTCTTCTTGAAAGATGAGGTCGTTCGACAAGATTCAATGGTAATCTCTGATGTTGTTGTAAGAATTGTACCAAATCGAGAGGTTTTTCTTGATGAACGAGTGGAGAAGGTGTCATTCGGAATGGATGAGCAAATCCAAACCCAAATAATTCTTGTAATACTGCATAACAACCATAGGATACTCCATTATTTACGTGTGATGCCAATAATCCACTATTTCCATCCACAGATATAATGACTTGTGAAATGTTGCTGTTACTAGAAGTTGTTGAATTCAATAATGAAACCATGATCGTTTTCACAATGAAACCATCATGTCCCAATAATGTCAATTCTTGACGTGAAATGTATTGTAAAGTTGTACTGGTATTACCAAAGGAGAGTAACAAGGATTGATCTCCAATGAGTTCAAACGATAATTGATTCAAATGGCGAGTGATGGTTTGTTGAATGAGAGGATTTACGTTGGTTCCGAATATGAAATTGAGACGACGAGGATCCTTGTTGAAGGACTTGTTGGGTCGTGCTGTCACTATTGTTGGATCATGGTGTGGTTGCCATAGGAGGGATAGGACAAGGCAGATGGTGGCAATGATGATGATCCGTGGTTGCATGTTACAACGATGATGAAGTAGTATTTTTTGTGAGATGTTGCAGGAGAGTTGTTCCGAGGGGATGTTTTCGTTACAACGAGTGTAGTGAAATAATTTCACCACATGAGGACGAGAGGGGTGAATGTTCGTAAGCATGGACTGATACCATGACATAATTTGGACCGGCCCAGAGAAATCTTTCGAAATTTGTATGAACAAACGAATGTTATTGGACTCTTGTCAAAGAATTGATACCGAAGTTCTAACACCTTAGAAAGCGAACGTCAAATGTCCAGAGGCGCTGAACGGCCATAAATACTCTTAATTTTGCAAGCGCTCGAAATGATATTTTATAAAATAGATCATTGTTGAAAGTTGTTTTCGTTTGTTCATATAACGTTGTTGTCGCCTCATTGGATTTCAAGTCTAGATCTCTAGACTTTATTATTAAAAGCACGTATTTCATAATTTTGAAGGAAAGATCTGAGGTTGCATTCAGTTATGTTCAATATTTTCGTTTCGGCCATCTTTCAATAGATCCATGATGAAAGTGGGAGCTGGTTTTGTGAAACATTCATGCATGTTTGATGATTTTACCATCATTACAGTCATGGAGGTAGTGGATGAAAGTATTCTTTCCAACGTTATAAACTGCACCTCTAGCTGTAACAAGGAATTGAACCCTGGGATCCAAAACAGAAACTTTGATCTTTTCTTCCATTAGCTGGTGGTCGTAATGATAAGGAAGAGACAGCATTCGAGGAATTGACGAAGAATCTCCATCTTTGCTCTTCTTTTTGAAAAGCTCATCTGTGAAATAAACCAGTCCAGGTCCATAGAAACGGAAACTAAACACTTGCTTTGATTGGTAAATTGATGACGATGACATTCCCTGTTGAGAGCAATACCACCTTAATAAATGAAGGGCTTCAACAAAATAAGCATGTTGTAATCGTTATACAATGAAACATACCTGCAATATCTTTTTGACTGACACTGAATACGTTCTTATGCTTTTCTTTATAACCATCACCATAGGTAAAACCAAGTAAAAACCCAAGACAAAATGTTTTGGGTGCCAAATAAAAATATTGAGGATAATTCTTGGCAGTTCCAACGAGGGTTTGAATCTCTCTCATGGTTTGAATCCAATTGGGATGTTGAAACCAAACCACCAACATCATTGGTTCGTAACCATGTTGGAGCAAGTTTGATTCCTCTGTCGAATTGTATGGAATTGCAATGACATGCTTGAGAATGTCATCATATTGTTCTTTCTTGAAATGATACCAATTATGGTGCTCGGATCTTTGACGAAGCATGGATCGATAACGATTCATCAACTCCTCTGAGGATTGTTCTTGAGGGTCATCATGGTCTTGGAACACCTGGTGATCATCCTCCTCCTTCTTTGTGTTATTTCCACGGTAAAGAATCTTGTTGAAAACATGTAATCTTGAACAAGGAATATCTGGAAATAACAGTTTTGCAACGTTGAACACCCAATCGAAAATCTGATGTTCATCCTTGCCTAAATAGAATTTTGGTTCTTGAAAACTCCCGTCTGCCAACCACAATCCAGTCAGTACACTAACATACTTCAATATCAATTCTTCATCCAATTTAGCTTTTGGGTTGGCAAGTTCAAGCAATTTCTTCTCAGCTGGAAAAGTATGTAGAGCGAACTGTACATGATCAAAAAGAACCTACCATTCATCCACTGTTGAAGAAGTTTGTCATTTGTTGGCTTTAGATCAAAAGGAATGTGAGCTCGTCTCAGAAATTTTCCAGGATCTTGAACAGTGCTTGAATACATTATGGTACCTTTTGAAGACGACTCAAGGTTTGTCTCAAACTCCTCTTTCCACACCTTCTTCATGGTATCAACAGACACTTTTTCGAACTGTTTGTTGTGGCAACTGGTCACATAATAATGATTCATGTCAACTTTTCTTATTAATTTGTCTTCACACAAGATTCTGCAATTCTTGTGTTGATGATCGCTAAATCCGTTATAGGTACCTGTTTTGGTTCCTATACTGCCATACTCAGAGGTTTTCACGACTTCCAAGCGCACAGGGCAAAATTCACCAACAAATCGTGACCCTTCCACCTTAATACCAATGATGTTGGGTGTGCTGTTCATCTTCACCATGTCTTGGAGGGATATGGAACCAAAACACTCTTCTTTTGGTTCCACCGCAAACTCTGTTTCTTGTGGAAGTATAACTTGATCTTCGTTTTGGAAGCGATCCATACACATCTTCTTAAACCACTCAAAAAAGTATTGATTGGGTTTCTCATAACCAAGACTTTTTAACACTGAAGCGTATGTTCCAACATGTCCAGCATCAATACCCTCCGTTGCCAACAAACGAGGTTCCAAGGCAAAGATTTTACCCAGTCCTTTTAACACTTGCAACGAGCCTTGATGCATTTGGGAAGAGTCTAACAATCCATATCGGTCGAGATAAAAGATGGAAAGGTTTCTGACATTAATGGCAAAGAAGTCTAAGGTTCCAATCGCCTGAGGCAAGTATTTGTTGTTTTGATCATTGGATGTAAGCGCCAAAGCAGTTTCGTTGGAGGTACACCTTGCAATCTTCTCATAACTATCCTCTATTCGACCCATTTGAGCATCTTTGATTTTGCGTTGCACTTGCTCGAGAAGAAGGTTTTGAGCTAAAATACCTCCTTTTTCTTGAAGGTCGTAGGAGTTTTTCATCTCATGATTCTTAAGGAGAGCACTAAAACGTTTTCGGAGGGAAGTAGGTGTTAAACGAGGATCAAACTTCTCCTTCATTGCTTTCTGGAAGGCAGGAAAGGCGTGTACCCAAGAAATCTGTTTGTTTTGCTTGGTAGCTCCTGCTACAGTAGAGATAAGGATGGTGTCAACGGCATCGGTCCATTTATGTTTTGTTCCTTCGTGGGTTTTTCCTACCCTCTTTTTGGACGTCTTCTTCTTGTGGTTTGCATCGGTCATACTGGTGGAGTCCCTATCCATAGTGGATGAGGACTCGTTGCGGTCGGCTTCCTCTCCGTTCATTTGAACAGGGCTTGCAGATGTTTCAATCCGTGCATATGTACGAGGAGATTGTTGTTCTTCTTCCACAACGAGAGGGTTTGAAATAGAATCTCCATAAGTTTTAGGTTTCTTAGTTGAGTCTGAGAGAGACAACGAGGAGTCGTTTGGCTTTGGCCTTTTTGACATTAGAGAAGTAAGTTTCAGGCAAGTCGATGTTTTTTTTGTTTGAAATCACAAGCCTTACTCGCTTTCAAGTCTTTAATTCTACAAAACAAGAGGGAAAGGGAGTTGGTGTGTGTCTATTCGTTCTTGGGCAATGAAATCCATATTGCTTCAGTCTTCCAGCACCACAAAAAGCTGGAAGTACCTTTAGTCTTGTAATTCATACAATTCGATCTTATTACCTCTGTTCCTTATTATATCATATAGCGGTCTTGGCCGAGTGGTCTTAAGGCGTTTGACTTGAAATCAAATGGGGTGACCCGCGCAGGTTCGAGTCCTGCAGACCGCGACATTTTTTTGCAGAATTTTGTTTTGTTTTTTTAAGGAAAATTGTTAGAATGTCATTCCATGTGATTTTGAGAAGAACCCTATCGCTTCCAGTGGTACCTCAATAGTCGTCCTCAGTATAGATAATATCTCATGGGTGGCCACGATATCGTCCATTACTACCAGTAGTCTACCATTCATCGACTTCTGAACAAATGAGCTAACGTTCTTGGTAGCATCTTCTTGATGTTTTTGTTGAACTCTCTTTCTGATTGTATTCTAACTCCAAATTTCAACGTACACCTCGAATAATACATGTGAGAGGATAAATGACATCAAGGAAAAGTTAGATATGTGGCTCCATCGTTTTACACCATGATCTACTATTTGAAAATTGCAGGATGAGTTGCTGAATTCAGAAATGAATCGCCTACTGAGGACTCTATACTTGCTCAACCAATCGATTGTCCAATATTGATAATAGGAGACTATTTTCATGATTACATCCCATTGGAGGACAACAACGATCTAAGTGCATATTGGTTGTAAAATTACACAAATTCGAAAATTAAATCAAAGGAAGATTATCAACATTCCGTGATTTATTGTAGATTGCATTAAAGTGTGAAATTTTTTTCGTCGTTTTAAAAATGAAAAACGCACAAAAAACAACAACTGGCAACACAAAACAACGAACAACAACGAAAAACAAAAACAAACAACCACAACAACGACGGTATTAATTTAAATGGATGATTGGACTCTGAACACTACATCAACCCCTTTCAGCACTTTTTTGCACATACGGTTCAGTACTAGTAATTCTCTCTGCACTGAATATTCATCGTTTTAGTAAGCGAACGAAACGCTAAACAAATCACAAAAACGAACAACAACGGGAGCAAAAAATGACCCCAAAACGAACGAAAAAAAAATTTCATACTTTAATGCAAACTACAATACCAAGAGTTCAACAAATCACCAACAATGAAGATCAAATTTTAGAATGTTTGAAATTTCCATGTTGAATGCAACAACAACTTTAAGGTCGATGTTGTTACAAGCCACTTGTTTTGATTAAAGTGTGGCCAGAACTTGCTTGTTCAAAAGCAACAAAATACTGACGGGGATGATTGCTGGGATGGGCGATTTCTTCCACCCCTCGAGAAAGTGAAACATGAATTTGCAGGAACGGGTACAACAACAAATTATGAGCCTTCATTTATTACTTTTGATGAGTTTGAGCCTTTTGTTGATATATGTTGTTCTTTGAATAAATACTTCCTGCTTCAGTATCATGACGACCCTCATAAACAAACCATAAGACTTTACAGATCGTTGTCAATCCATATTCAGTGTCAGTAAAAAAGATATTGCTTACTACTTTCTTGCATAACTGTGACAACATTGTTTAAGGGTGTTGTTGTCAGCATGTCATCTTCTTCTATTTATGTAACGATATACAACACAAGGTAATTTTTAGACGAATTGGTTTGGTTCAGAGGTTGTCTTCCTTATTGAAAAGTGTGTTCGAAAGTCCTCTATTTGCTAAAGCAATATTCCTAGTGTATGCATTACAGGCGTTTGATTTCCATTTACCTGCATGCATGATCACATCCAACGATTCTCCTTCTTCGGTGAGTTTGGAAGCTGCTCCAATTCTAAGGGAGTGCCCTAGAATATTTTCCTTATTGTTAAGGATTTTTCTCACTTTCTTCATGAATTCGCATTTGTGGTTGGATGTTAGGAATCGATTGTCGGTAAAGGAGAGGAAAGGACTATTTCTTTCTTTGAAGTGGTGGACTTGGTCTCTGTATGATGTGATTAATTTCACTGGGCAGTACTTTTGGTTTGGGGCTGGTTCGATTATGATGGGATCTTTATCGAGATTCATCTTGTCGGTTTTGTGACCTGAATTAATTATTTGAATCCAACCCTTCTTTGGTTTGTCCCAGGTAATGTCACACCATTTAATAGAAGCAATGTCTGAGGGACGAAAGAGTGTGCGGAATCCAATGATCATGGTGGTTGCAATCAGGAGTTTTTCAAATTTGTCCTTCTCGGATGAAGGTTGATATTTCTCCATCCAATCTAAGATGTGAGAAATGGAAACTCCATCCCTTTGAAGAGATCGTTTGTGTATTGCATTGTAAATTCGTTGACCACCCTTAATAAGGTCATTAAATTCCGGTTTCCACTCCAGGTTGATCTTATAGATTTTTGCAAAGAATGTGAGTGAAGATTTAAGGCGAGGAAGTTCCCAGCCTTTTTTGTTTTCTAATTCATAGAAAACAAACTTTTCAGCTGTTTCATAAGTGAACGGTCGTTGGTGTCAGAATCTGTATTCTTGGAATCGTTTGAAGCATCTCCACATGTGAAAGATGGAGTCTGGACTGAAAGTCGCCTCTAGACAGATGGCGTTCCAACCTTCGAACAGAGGGCTCCAACCACTTCCACAGCCAAGAACTCGTTCCATTTCGAGTTCTTCCAGATTTCTGTGGAGGGCGATATTATAAGCATCTTTCTTGGAAATTTTTCTATCCTTAAGGAGATCTTTGTAAGCACAGGATACCACCATGAGCTTGTCCAGTTCGGAATAATCAAGGACCCTTCGCTCGGTTCTTGATGATCTGAATTATTGTTAATGGAATTAGACTGAGAGGAGGAGACATGTAAGGGATGTAGCTCGTTTTCAAGATTGACCAATTTTGTTGGAGAAGGATCTTCCATATAGATCTAGCTATGGTGGCCAGAGAGTCCACTGGGCCATAACCTTACTTGAGGTTGGAGATGGCTGTTGTATTGACCGCAATGAATTGGGTTTTCTTGGGGTAAAGCTGGTTAGAGGCTGCGTTTTGAAGGAACAGAAGAACTGTAGATTGTTCTTTGATGTTGATGTGGTTTCTGGGTTCTCCCAAGTGCCCACTAGAACGTTGTTCCCTTGAAACGCACCGTAACCAAGAGTTGAACTGTCCTAGTGTATCCTTTGGAGATTCCAAGTGATCTCGAAAGGTGTACCTTGAGGTTGGAGAAGATTTTCATTGACGAGTTCCAACCTGTTTTGTCCACTACTAAGGACATGCTTCTTCTCAACCTGTGACAGAAGCAAGGAATTGCTCTCTCGGCAAGCCTGAGGAATTCCATTTTTCCAGTGAAATGAGCTATTGTTCTGCAAGGAGCTGACAGGTTGTTCTGGGATTTGGTGATTAGATCGTCGATCATGGTTAGAGCTGTCTCCTTCTTGGAGGTTGGAATTTGAATAGTTCCTGTTTTGAAGTCCAGTGTTAGGCCCAAGAACTCGATAGTCTGTGTTGGTATTAAGATGCATTTGTTGGGTTGGATAAGGAAACCGAGAGAGTTCAAATCTTGAATTACTTGGTTCGTTATTGATTGACACATATCTGGGCCTTCCAGGCTGAGGATTAATATATCGTCGATGTATATGAATATTATCCAACCCTACTCTCTCCACTTCTTCACTATTTGTTTCATGATTTTTGTGAATATTAGTGGGGCGTTGGACAGTCTGAATGGGAGGACATTGAATTGGTAGAATACTCCTTTCCAGACGAAGCCCAAGAGACGTTTCGAGTTGGGATGGATAGGTATGTGAAAATAACCTTTCGATAGGTCTATTTTGCAAGCATACATTCCAGGAGTAAGGATCTTGGTGTTTGAGTTACTCTTTTTTCCATAGTTGTGATTGGATCATGCATTGGAGTTCTTTTGGTATTTGTTGTTTGTGGGTTGTGAGTTGCTTTTTGTGGGAGTGAGTTGTTTGTTCATGTTCTTCATGTATTCAAAGTTAAGTGCATCTTTTCTTTCTTCTCTGTTATTATGGATGTTTGTTTTCAATTCATTATGGACGTTTGTATTATTGAGCTGTTGGTTAATTTCTCTAGAAATGTCTTCCATTGTGTAATTATTCTCAGCTGCGCAGTCCAGGGCATTGGCTATTCTGTTTGATAGTAGCAAGCCCAACGCTAGTAATTCTGCTCAGGCAATGAGATCTGTTGACGTTGCTGAACAGTTGAGTGCTTTGCAGGTAAGGCCGCTGCAAACTAATACTGTGTTAAGGATTGGAAGGTTTAATTCCGGACGTGGTTCAGTTTTAACATGAGGAATGTTTGTGTTTTGAAGCAGTTGTTTGTATTTTCCAATAAGGTAGGTAAGAGCTGTTCTAGTTGGGGTCATAGTAAGGAGCTTTCTTATAATACTTTGTTGGAGAAGTTGAGCAAGTTCTAGACCGTTGAGTTTAGAGAGTTGGTCGGGAGCGAAGTTCCTGTTGTTTTTCAAGTATGAAGTGGTGTAGAACTTTAAGGCTTCATCTGATAAACCATTGAAAGGTGCGTTTGTTGTAGTGTGGTTGTTTGAAAATAGGTTGCCGGTAGTGTCGTTAATATTGATCCATCTGGTGGTATGAGGGGCGATGGGAGTATTGTCAGTCTTGTTGGAATCTGTAGGGAATGGGATGTTGAACAGATTTGTAGGTTGTGGGATATGCAAATGGTTTGGTACTGACAAGTTAGGGTCGAATGGATGGTTGTTATTATTAAATTGATGTGGTTGAGTTACTTGTTGAAGGCGAGTTTCAAAGCCTTGTACCTTTGTGGTGAGTCCTTCTATCTGATCCATCATGGAATTGGAAAAGTGTTGTAAGGAGTTCTGGATGATTTGTTTAATATCATAAGGTGGTTCAGGGTTTAACTTTCTGTGTTTAGGATGCTCGTATTCTGATGGTTCTTCCTCAAAGCCTTGTGGGGATTGTTCAAGTCTTTTCTTGAAATGTTCTTGCTGAGAGGAGGCTGTTTGGTTGATGGACATGGTTGACACTACACACTGTTGTTGAGGTAATTTTTCTAGCGATGTTTCCCTCTAAAAATTACAATTACAATGTTGTAATAGAGTTACTATCTTAAACACATTCGTGTCACGATAATAAATCAACGCAAGTTTGAAGTTTCCGTTTCTATGAACTTTTATTTGGTTGTTTCATAGACGAAATTTTCAAAAACATAGATCCTTCTACATCCTCTCATCCTTTCGCTTCCATGTCAATACGACCACCAGTCTAAGGAAAACTCCACTGAGTATGTTTTGTATGATTGTGTATGTTGATGTTTGGTTATTTTTTTATTTTTCAATTCAAACACAGTTGAGTTTTCTTAATTTAATGAATTTTACCTATTATCCTTAGGAGCTTGACGAATTAGCTTTGACAAGGTAATTATGAAACGAAATATTTTTGATGTTAACAGACCTGTATCCTTTTTTTACAATAACACTCGAGCTAACAATGGTGACGCTGACCGAGAGTGTCTTAAAAAACTACACCCAGATGTCCATATCATAATCAAAGCGTTCAACCATGATTCATAATAAATCCACACCAAGTTAAAAAACTATACTACTCAATTTTATTACTCGTTCAATCAAAATGTGCAACAATAGTGCTATTCATTCAAATTGCTTGTACAAAATTACCATTCGCTATTTTGATTGGTTTGTTGTGGTTGTTGTGGCATTGGAGTCAATCCTCTCTTACATTCATTCAAACTATCAAAAGCATATTGACAAGATCCAATAGAGTATGGATTTTGCTCCAAACATTGAGAGAATGATTGCATTTGTGAGAAGCACTTTTGCATTTCCTGTGGAGAGTATTGTTGTTGTTCTCCATTACTGTCCTTGGATCCAAAAGCATTAGAAACTGAATCATAGATAGCATGACCGATCATGGTACCAGCTACCGTGGAAACAATATTTCCCATGATACCAGGACCTCCGCTTTGAACAGGAGTTTGTTGATGTTGTGGTGGAGGAGTGGTTTGTTGTTGTGGTCTAGCTTGTTGTGGTTGTTGGGTGGATGTAGAATAATTTCTAGTTTGTTGTTGTGTTGGTGGTGGTGCTTGGTGAGAAGATGAAGAATGAGAGGAAGAGGAGGATCTTCTTGAAGAACCAGTGAATCTACTCTTTTGTGGCATTATGTGTTTTGTTTGTTGGGGTATTTTTTTTGAATGTAAATTTTAAAAATAATAAAAATTTACAATCAATTTGTTGTTTCAAAATTCCGATCGAACAACAATTTGATTGAGCAGCAATGGACGCATAATATTTTCTTAAAGCTGATTGAATCCGTGTTGGTTTATGACTTTATTTGCTCCAATTCCACATGTTAAACAGTATTCGAGTAGAAATAACCCATACTTCAGGATCTGTAGTTTACAATTCGCTAATTTTCTCACAAAAGAAAAAAAAGCGAAAAAAATTCTCTCATCGTTGTCTCATCATGACTCACAAGACTCGTGCCGTTATTGTTGCAGCTCAAAGAACACCTATTGGCTCCTTCCTTGGAAAACTCTCAGGTTTTGATGCTCCTAAATTGGGATCATTGGCCATTCGTTCCGCAACTCAAAAAGCTGGAGTTGCTCTTTCCGAAGTGCAAGAAGTCATCATGGGTAATGTAGTCTCAGCAAATTTGGGTCAGGCACCAGCTCGTCAAGCAAGTATTCATGCTGGACTTCCTGATAGTGTTATTTGTACAACCGTGAATAAGATGTGTGCATCGGGAATGAAAGCAGTCATGTACGGATCGCAAAACATTGAATTGGGCATTCATAATTGTGTGGTTGCTGGTGGTTTTGAATCCATGTCCAATGCTCCATATTATATTCCTCAAGGCCGATCAGGCTATCGATTGGGTGATGGTAAATTGGTTGACTCCATTCTCAAGGATGGTTTAACTGATGCCTATAATGGAGAGCATATGGGTTGGTGTGCCGAGCAAACAGCCAAATTATATGGAATTACACGTGAAGAACAAGATGCCTATGCCATTGAATCCTACAAAAGAGCTACTGAAGCCAATGAAAAGGGATACATGTCCGGAGAATTATTCTCCATTGCATTGCCTTCAAAGAAGAAGGGTGAGCAAACTCAATACATTCAACTCGATGAGGAGTTTTCAAATATTAATTTGGAAAAGGTCCCACAATTGAAACCAGCATTTGTTAAGGAAAATGGTACAGTCACAGCTGCCAATAGCTCAAAACTGTCAGACGGTGGTGCTGCTTTGATCTTGATGAGTGAAGAAAAAGCCAAGAAAGCAGGTATAAGACCAATTGCAAGAATTTTGGGATATGGAGATGCGGAAAAGGCTCCTATTGATTTCACAACTGCACCATCCTCGGCCATTCCAGTCGCTTTGAAGCATGCTGGAGTTTTGCAAAGTGATGTGAATTTGTGGGAAATTAATGAAGCATTCAGTGCTGTTGCTTTGGTCAATATGAAACTTTTGGGCTTGGATGTCAATACTGTCAACATTTTCGGAGGAGCTGTTGCCTTGGGACACCCAATTGGTTGTAGTGGTGCCAGAATTCTCTGTACTCTTATTAGTGCTTTGAAACACCGAAAACAACAAGTGGGTTGTGCTGCCATTTGTAATGGAGGTGGTGGTGCTAGCTCTGTCGTCATTGAATTGCTTTAAACAAAGTTAATGAATTCCTTAATAACATTAAATTGGTAATTTATGTGCATTTATCTGACCATTCAGTAAAGATCAAAGCAAACTCAGCAAACATTTTTGAAATATTCCACACATGACCATACCATCATTCAACATGGTCGTCATTACCGTTACCTTTAAAGACAATCTCGTCCACGTCGTGACCAATCCATCCCACCAGAGAGAGTTCTCCAGGGAGGGTGAGCCAAAGCGTAGGCAACCAGCCTATACCCAACCATTCTTGGCGACGTTGACGAACTCAAGTGTCATCACGAAAATAAACATCTCCAACCAAAAAAAATGCCTACAGCAAACAAAACGTTCTGGCAGAAGCTGAGTGATCAACACAACCACATCAGCAAGTTTCTTCACTTCAACAAAACAACACGCAAACCAGAGTAGGAAACAGAGAAAACAATTCATCGAACTGAACAAACCATCAGTGGAATTCCTAGTCGTCTATTGTTGTACATTCTGCTTTTCCGATGGCCTTCACAATTTCTTGATCGTTCCCAAACTTCGACAACAGCAAATCATACAACATAAGCACATCCACAACGGCATTATGTGCTATTCCGGGAAGAGAGTCACATACTTTTTCTCTAAAGTGGTTTTCTAATCCCTTTTTTCCAAGCAAGTTTTTTTGCATAGTAGAACAATAGTAAATTGTTGATCGGAGTTTAAGTGGTGCAATTGCAGCACTAAAGAAAGCCTTGTCCAAACCAGTTGAATGAACCAACAACATCACATCAGCAGTGTCATTCCTAGTCAAATAATTACAAATTTTAGGAATCATGTTTTGCAATGTTTCACTTTCATCCAAAATCTGAAATTTAGTTTCGTGCATTTGTAATGCAATAGAACTCCACACACCACTAGGGGATACAAATATGGAATGTAATTCATTACTAAATAATGATAACATTGCAAATTGAATTATGGAGTTGCATTTTGGAGAAAATCCTGTTGTTTCTAAATCTAGCACAAAGAAGTTCAATGGTCGTCTTGTCTCTTGATTGATACAGTGAGGCGTGGGAATTGATTTAAGAGGTGCAAAATTATATTGAATAGTCAACCTGTTTTTGAATTTTGAAATCAGGTAAGGTGGTTTGTGTTGTACAATAATATTCTCATTGTTTTTGCAACTTTGTTTCCTAAAAGCAACATCTTTTTCTAATTGAGCAGAAAATTGCAAACATTCTAATTGAGCAACTGTTGCTTCTGCTTCTTCGTCTGAAAATTGATGTTTAGCTTTCAAATGATTTGTAAAAGACCCTTTGATAATATATGGTTTTTGTTTTTTACATCCAGAAACAGGGCAGCATAAATATATACATTTAGGAGCACACACTTCAGCCCTCAACGTAGTTTTTCTTGAGTAAGTGGCTACGTTTTGATTAATAATTTGTAATTCTTTGCAAGTTTTTTTCTTGACATTTCTATCAAGTACAATTCGACCAGGAAGAGTTGGTAAAATCTTGATAACCAATTTCATACCAAAATAATGATCAGTTAATGGAATATCTGGGAGTGAGAACCCACGAACATCGTCAGTGGAATGTAATATTAAAAATATATAGAATGAAAATAGTGCGCTTTGGCAAAATTGTTTGGTTGTTGGCTTGGGAAACATTCCTCGAATTATTGAAAAGAGTAGCTCTTCATAATTTGTTGTAATGCAACTGGGTTTGAAATTTGGAAACCGAGACGCTAATGCAAGAAATCCTTCAAGTGTGTGAACACATATTTTCTTCGTTTTTTTGGGATAATTGGGTAATTTTTCGAAAATTGTTTTGCTTTCACTCAAAATATCAATTATATCCGGACTGTTATCATTAATGCAGTCATAAATATCACGAATTAATTCAAGGTAACCAGCAACACTATTTGCCTCTATAGTGCCAATTTTACGTAATTCTTGCAATACAGGTCGTTCTGTTAAATTTAGACATGATTTCAAATTCATAATATCCGTAGGATCAACTTCTTCTCTGTCGAGTAATCGATACAATGTCCTATGTTGTATCATGTAATAAATTATGGTCTGCATTGAGATTTTCTCGTGCAATATTGTTCCATTAAATAATACATTTCGTTGATTTTTGAAATTGTGAACGTAATCATTGACGAAAATGAAGTCTTTGTGTTTTTTTCTAATAATTGTTTGCACAGCATGTGCATCAATTTCTGCATCAGAACATCCACACACAATTGTTACAGATTCTTGGAGCAACTCTTTGAAATAAAGTATTTTGCTAGTGACAAATTCAAGTACGTCTGTTTCAGAACTAACTCCAAACCAACCCAGCGGTAAATGCCATGAATTATCGATGGCATTAATAGAAAATAAAATCATTTGGTCTATTAGATGTTTAACACCAAATTGTTTCACGTCTTCAACAGTGTAACAATATTTTTCACTTCCAACAATTTGATCTCCCAAAACATCAAAATGTTTAAACACTTTCATTCCATCAAACGAGATACATGTATCTTTACAAGAGTCAGGCAGTAACATGTTCTTTAGGGTAAGTGTGATGTCGGGAATCATACCATAACAACCAGCAGGTGTCCATTGTTTAACAGTATTCCAACTTGGTATAATTAGATTATATTTTAAATGATTAAAATTATTCCGTTCAATATTTTGATTGCGCTCTCCTCCCATTCTGATGAAAAATTGTTTTCCACAATAATATTTCATCACAACCCAATATCTTCTTTCAACCTCTGAATATTTGTGATGAAATGGATTCTTTGTATAATTTTGCAACTGATTGAATATAAAGGATCCAAAAAATGTCTCTAAGAATGGAGTAAAGCTTGACCTTGGAACCTTCAAAGCTTGTGTATCACGGTGTTCATTGTTCGTAATTTGTTTGTTGTTGTATTGTGTCGACAATGCTTCATTGTATGAAGTTTGAGCTTTTCTAAACACTGTTAAAAGTTTGTGTTCATCTTGGCTGACTGGTATAAATGGCACAAGTTTACACAATAACTCATACATCAATAATGGAAATGATATTAATTGCTTGGGTTGTGGTAAAATTCCTTTCAATAGCATTTCAAATATATCATGCCTATTTTCCATGATTGAAACTAGGTGTTTTTCCAATTCACTACATTGACGACACTGATTTTGAAAAATACTACAATATTTTGAACAACATGCTGATTCTAAGGTGAGTTCGTCTCGAATAACGCCAATTATGTCATAATCGCAATTATAAATTTGTTTTCCTGTTAATAATTTAGAATAATTGTTCCGATTTATACCTCTGCAAACGTATTTCAGTTCGGAATAGCACTCTTCATAACTAACATTAGTAGCTGGTGTAATATTTTCAACCATGAACGGTTGATCTTCAAAATAAACTCTTTTCTTTACTGACGGCATTATTGAAGCAGTTGAACGAATATCGGGAGCATTGTGGTTGTGTTGATCACTCAGCTTCTGCCAGAACGTTTTGTTTGCTGTAGGCATTTTTTTTGGTTGGAGATGTTTATTTTCGTGATGACACTTGAGTTCGTCAACGTCGCCAAGAATGGTTGGGTATAGGCTGGTTGCCTACGAAGCTTTTTCTATCTGGCTCACCCTCCCTGGAGTTCTCTCCAACGCATACAGAACTTGATTCAAAGAACAAACACGAAATCAAGTTACTGGTTCTTGTGTTGTGTGCACCATTCGAGGTTGTGCTTTTCTTTTTCAATTTCATCGCTTGATAATCTCTTCAATAAGAACTCAGAACTCGAGCCAAGCAAATAACATCATCAGGTGTACATTTTAAGCGACAGTTGTAACATACATTCATCACGTCAAAAAAAATTTACGCTCTCACAACCCACGTCAAAAATGTCAGCTGCCAATAACTCTGGTATGGAAGAATATAAACTCGCCGTTGGTATGTAAACGTTTTATGATGATGTCTTCTGTGTTTTAACGTATTTTACCATGCTCTTCAAAACAATGTAACCAAATATTGCGAATTCATTTGTTGAACAACAACAACACATCAACAACACGTTATTGCCATCATACACATTTATCAACAACAACAACAATAACTTACCAATTATTCACACGTGTTTGTTGTCTCATGGTGATGATGACAATGATTTACTTTCTTCATCGTCGTGTTGTTACACCAACAACAACAACGTGCATGCGTGCGCTATTTTCCGCACTCCTCTCTCGACAACAACAACCTTCCAAACTTCTCCGTGTTTTTCTTCTCCATGACATTCATCATCGTACGATAACAACAATGAATTCCATCCCTCTCTCATCATGGGTTTATTATTTACAAAAAAATATATTTTGTTATTGAAATGAAAACTCGTAACAACAGTCGGTGGAGGTGGTGTCGGTAAAAGTGCCCTCACAGTCCAATTCATTCAAAACATCTTTGTTGAAGAATACGACCCAACCATTGAAGATTCCTATAGAAAGCACGCCAAAGTGGATGATAAACCATGTTTCTTGGAAATTCTTGATACTGCCGGACAAGAGGAATACAAAGCCTTGAGAGATCAATACATGAGAACTGGTGATGGTTTCTTGTTGGTTTATTCCGTGATTGATAGAAAGACTTTTGAGGAAATTAATGACTTCTATGAACAAATTTTGAGAGTGAAGGATGCTGAGAAGGTACCCATGGTGTTGGTGGGTAATAAGGTATGTTGTACACATTTAACGTGTGTTTCATTTTGTTCATCTGAATAATTATTTATTTCTTATGATGATGATGATGAATATTTTGTTATTTGAACGTTCTCTGAACACCCGATACCAACAATCATCACATTTCTGTAAAATTACATTTCTTTTCCCGACGATTCATTGAAATTTATTGTTGCCATAT